GTCTGTGTATTCTCTTGTTCCGATTAACCCAGCCACATTTTTTCTTGTTTTGTGTCTATATCTACGCCGGGATCCGGAGTCGAGGCTGATCTTGCTGTGGTCCTGTGTCCTGGATCCTCTGTCCTGAGTTCTGGATTAAGTCGTGGACTTCGGGTTGCGGTTAAACCTGTCTCTGCGGTCCTGCCTGGGTCTTGTCATGCTGCCTCCCTGAAGACTCCCACAGGATTGTAGTTGACATCTTCGTAGATTCATCTTCCTATTATAGACACATGCATTTCCAAACATTTGGACTACCTATGTTGTAAATGTATTATCTTTTCCATTTCCACGCGGCATCTATTGCACGTCTGTCCGTCCTGGGAGAGGGATCCCTCCTCTGTTGCTCTCCCTGAGGTTTCTCCCATTTTCCCCTTTAACTGTGGGTTTTCTCCGGAAGTTTTTCCTTGTACGATGTGAGGGTCTAAGGACAGAGGGTGTCGTTTTGTCATACTGATATTCTGTACAAAGACCACTGAGACAAATGTAACATTTGTGATATTGGGCTATATAAATAAACATTGATTGATTGATTGATTGATTGATTGATTGATTGATTGATTAATTAGTTCAAATCCTTTTTAATGTCCCACGTCCAAACGTACTCATGCTAAAGTTTATCTTCAAAAAGTAAGTGTTTTTTAAAAGTAATGAATATGAAATAATGCATTAGCTTCATTGATTGGCTGCTCTTTGTGCAACCATGTAATATCAATTTGTTATATGGCAACTGCTCTTTGATATTGATCAGTATACTCAATTTTAAAGTAGAACAATGGTAAAAATGCAAATGATATACTCAACTTAAATGTCATTTTAAAACTGGCAGGGTTGCCAGTGGAATAACGCCTCTTTATGTCCTGTGTGACATTTAAATGCTAAATCTATAAATCTTTAATGTCTAGTCTGTTGTTAGAGGAGGACATTGACGCCACTGATGTGTGGAACGAGAGCTCTGCATTTGCATTTGACCGTTCTTTAACCTGCTGTTTATTCTTACTGAAATGCTCCTATAGGACCAATTACATCCTCCTTTATGAATCTCGTATTATTTCCCCACAATTTTAGGTTAGAGGGCAGTGGCACACATGTAAGAAACCCTATAATTACCTTGTTGGTGGTGTCATTGCATATAATCCTCTTCTTTTCTCCTCTCCTTCCTCTCCTCTCTTCCCTCTCCTCCCTCTCCTCTCTCTCCTCTCCTCTCTTTTCCTCCTGGGTTGAAAGAGATTCTCCTGCGTCAGCACACTGCTCCCACCTACCCACATTGCATTTAAGAATCCTAGAGGGAGTGGGATTAATGCATTCCACAGTTTTGATATTACGTAATGGTGAGTTCACAGGGGGTCAGCTGCTCTATAATCCCATGTATCCGGACCAAAATGTACTGATTTTAATGGTCTTACACACAGGCTGACTCACAAATGAAAAATATTCTCCACCACGCTCAGCTGCTCACATCGCACACTTTATGTGACTGTCATAAACTCGGACAGGTAAGGTAAGGTAAGATTCATTTCCCCAAAAATGCTTTGAGTGCAATGATGTCGCACTGAGGCAGCCCAGAGCAATAGTGTTTCGATGGAGAGAGGAAACCAGTGTCAGGGAGAGATGAGGGGTTTCATGACAACGTAATTCAGCCCAATTTTCTGAGATTAAGTTTAATGTTTTCTGATTTAAATCAATGCTGGATATTTACACCTGATCAAGTTGCTAATAACAATTTGGCTAAAATGTATGTACTTTCTAATTGCCCTTTTATAATAACATATTGCGGCTTCAAATTATAATTATTTCCCCTATTGTTTAATGTGCGTTTTCTTTTTATGATTTTTTTGTTTTGTCATATACTTAAATTCAACTCAGATAGTTGTTTCTAACTGATCAACCATCCCAAACAAAGATTATGTTGTTTACTATCAATGGGAGATGGATGGCTATGACATAAAAGTCTTATGATAATGAGAAACTAAAACGATACAATGTAATCCATTTACAAAAGAGTTGCAGAATATTTTCCGTTGAATGAGTATCAATTCCTTGACTCATCATTTCAGCTCAAAAGATCAAAGTGTGATATTTACTCTGGAGGAAAAATGTAATTTGAATTATAACAAGATGGGTGTTATAGGGGACGAATAGGTCACACTTTATTGTAATCACTTTTAAAAGCATTGAGTTAAACCTTCTAAATGGCTTATAGCACACCCATACTTGCCAACCTTGAGACCTCAGAAATCGGGAGCATTTCAAAACCACCCGGATCGCCGGAGCTGTATTAAATTAACATTAACATACTTATTGTAGTTGTTAGTGGACTGTCTTGCGGCCTGTAGCATGGAAAGGAGTGAGCAGAGGGTAGAGTTGTCGATTCTTGTTCAGTTTACCGTGACTATCTTCCTCATCCTCTCAGACTGTCAGTTGCGCACGCTACTAAAGAGACGCGACCATGGAAACCAAACAATGGTGTAGCTGTATTAAAGTCCGAGTGGAAACAGTCCTGAGTAAATCTGATTTTGTCAGAAATCGGGAGAAATGCGGGAGAAATATGACCCCGGGAGGAAACCGGGATCCCGCGAAAATCGGGAGGGTTGGCAAGTACAGTATGAGCACATCATACTTTGAAGATGTAAGCATCTGTAACGACTGCATTAAAAGTTAATGGATGGTTAAAGTGCGATATAGGCTAATACTAATATTATGTGTTATTACATTAATAAATATGTGTTTATTTCATTTGTTAACTATTTGGATATTAATATAGTTAGTTATACTGTAAGAAACGTCATCAAAACCCAGCAAAAGATCTCTAAAAACACCCAAAGAAATATAGAAAGTTTACCCTGATTTAATTGTAATGTCAAACTAAACCGTGAAGCTTAACATTTCTGTTGAGTCCTTCTGAACACAAAAACGCATGTTAATAACTAATTCATAACACACTTTAAGGAAGTCTTCATGTGTGGATTTATATTTAATTTAATATGATAAAAGCTATGTTATTCTGTTAATCAATTATTCATTAACTGTTTGTAAAGCAGCTACAGAGGTCCCATAGGAGGAGCTATGCTTGTTGACACGTGCATAAGCTGCCCTCATATAAGCTAAACCGTTTTTAATTATTATTATTACATTAGTTATTATTTTTGCTATACTGCTTATACATTTGTACCCCTTAATGAACAGTTCTGCCACCATGTATTATTATTATTTATTTATTTAAGGTTATTTGTGTGCTCTGTCTGTAACACCCTGCAGACTGCAGAGTAACAGACACGGGTGTCATCTCTAAATTCTCTCTGCTGGTCCCTCCCTGCTCACCAAGCCTTCACCCCACCTTGGCTGACCCACGATGCATTGGGCTTGATTTGTTGCCATGACAACGAGCCAACTAGCCACCCATCATGTGAAGTGTGCAGGCCTCATCGGGACTTGTTCCTGAAAGTTGTTTTCCTTCTTTCCTCTTTCAACGTCTGCGATCTTTATCATTGCATACTGTAGGCTAAGTAGATTTGTGTCTAGGATGTGTATAATAGATGAGAGCAGTGAGGAGGTTTCCTGCAACTGTTTGAATTTATGTGACCTATTTCTCTGAGCAGCCATCTACATTATGCGGTTTTCTGATGCATTTACAACATTTAGTAAATAATGTAAAATAGGAAAACATATTTCATGTTCTCCCTTGATTTTTCACTCGAGCAATCAGTGTGTTGTCTGTCTTTTCCTCACACCCAAGGGATGCTCTGAAATAGAGAGATGGGGTGGGAGAGCTCTGGAATAATAAGAGAGTGTGGGGGGGGGGGGGGGGGAGACTGAGAACATATCATATCATAAATGTAATACCAGCCTTCATTTTAGAAAAAATTAGCCCATCTCCTTTTGCACTTGACTTTAATATGGATTTGATGGATAGGCTGCGTGGTTTGTTCGATACCCATTTGCTGTAATACCTCAAACACAGCTTGCCCTGATAACCTGATCGGCCCCCCATTATCATGAGTGTGGCCTGTCACAGCAAAGCTCTCTGCTTAGTTTTTAAAGAATCTACGACATGATTCATATTATATGAAGATACATGATGAAACAGGTCCCAAGAAAAACTGTTTTTTTTACTTGGCTTGTTACTGTGTTATTCTTTAAACAAAAAGGACTCATATTTCTTAATGCCAAACCTTGATTGCTTTTATTGTTTCAGTGCTACAAAGCCCGTGACGTAGGATGTAAGCCCCGCGTGTCTCATGATTATATGCATGGAATCAGCACATGACACGTGTTGCATGATGGCAATACAACGATGGCTAGAGTCAGAAATTGGCTAAATACTGTATCTACAACACTGAATAAATATGAGCGTGTACATTAAGAGCGAACGTTCCTGCAATGTCTCAATTCATCAGCGGCTAATGAACCTGGGTTCTTTTTTACATGGTCCTCGAACACACACCGAATGGAGACTGTCCCTGAAATAAAGTCTGTAGGCTTATTTTTCTTCCATACGGTCACTAAACATTTCCTGCTGTCAGTTAATTTACTCCACATCAAAGTCAAATGTTTTCACTGTGTTGTTACGCTCTGTGGAATTTGCATCTTATGATCTTCTTGAAAGCACTTTGGAAGTCTTTGTTGAAGTAGGCATATATGATGGGGTTGAGGAGAGAGTTGGAGTAGCCCAGCCAGTTTATGACTGCGAACAGCCAGTCCGGCATGTAGCAGCTCTCTGCACAGAAAGGCAGCACGAGAGCAACGATGAAGAAGGGCAGCCAGCAGAAGATGAAAGTCCCCATGATGATCCCCAGTGTTTTGACCGTTTTACGTTCCCTGGCCAGCGCGATCTTTCTCTTCGCCCCCGAGTTCTTATCATTCATGTTTTCGTAGCCATGCGTGGACTGGGGGGTGTTGGGCAGAGGCAGGTGCGTTTTTGAGTTGCTCATAACTTCAATGATCTCAAGTGACTCTCCTTCCTCTCCGTGCTTCACGGCCCCGTTTACGCACGGAGAGCCTTTGACCCCGGCTTCCCCGTTAGTTTTCTTGTGGAAGATGGCCGGAGAGACAGACAAAAACTTGTCTGACACTTTTGCTTTTTCGACTTTCTTGACTTTCTTGACAGTCTTTCGAAACTGAAACCGAGCAGCCTTGAATATTCGCCCGTACAGGACCAACATGAGAATAAGAGGGATGTAAAAAGCCCCAAATGTGGAGTAGATTGTGTAGCCCGGATCCTGGCTGATGCTGCAGGCGTCTGGGTTCGCTCTGTCTTTGGCGCGTCTCCAGCCTAACATAGGCGGGATAGAGATTGAGAAACCAATGAGCCAAGTCACACTTATCAAGATCGCAGCTCGCCTCGGTGTCCGTTTATTTACATAGTCAATTGGATCTGTTATGGCCCAGTACCTGTCCAAGGCAATTGCGCACAGATGCAGGATGGATGAGGTGCAACACAGTACATCCAGAGAGATGAATAAGTCACATATTTCCTGCCCCAGTGTCCACTTGCTCAAAACCTGGTAGAGGGCCGCCATTGGTAGAACCAGCACCGATACCATGAGGTCTGTGACGGCCAGCGATCCGATCAGATAGTTAGCCACATTCTGGAGAGATCTCTCCAGGGCAATTGCTGCCACGACGCACGCATTGCCAAATATGGAGCAGAGGATGAGGGCCCCCAGGAGCAGAGAAGTGATAATCTGGTAACTTAGCTTCATTTCTGCCGGAGACCCAGACCCGGTGCCATTCTCACCCCCGTCCCAGTCGGCAACCACGTCTTCCCGGTGTGGGTAACTGCTGGTGGCGTTGCTGTTGTTGCTGCTTGTTGTTATAAAATCCATTATCCGACCGCACTCAGAGTGCAACTTTCTCAGGGCAGTGGGGACTCGCAGCTGGACAGATTAGCAGGACACAGTCAGCCCCTCAGACTGCTGTCGCTGTGCGTTTTTCCGGGGTCCATCGGAGTTACCGTGTTGGTGCCGTCGCTCTCAGGACGCATGACGCAGACGTGTGAGTGTGTGAGTGTGTGTGTGTGTGTTTGAGGGGGGTTGTGTGTGTTGTAGCTCGTGAGTGTTGACAGCCGGGTGCCTTCACTGGTGCTGTGAATCATCTGAGCTTGTAGACGCCGTGAATTCATTTATACCAGCAGCTTGGGGTACGTCAGACCGTTTGGAGGTCGCCCTGGAGTTTTTGTGCCTCTGCTCTCCTCGTTTTTCCCTATTTCTACTGCAGACAGCCGACGAGGGTGCAAAGCTCTTATCTCTTTTTCTCTCCCCTTTATTTGATTATTTGGACTCACTGATTGTTCCAATTTGTGGATTTTGTAAGTTTACACCTTGGGAGTAAATCAGGGCTTTCATTTTTTGTTGTATTTATTACAATATTAGTAAGAAAGGAAAACATGTCATGCTTTCTTGTAAGGCAAAAATAGCTTGAATAGAAATTCAGGAATAAGTTTTAATAAAGTGTTAAAGGTCGCAACAATGCATTTCAAGCCAGAATTAGAAAAGGTAACATGACCGGAGCCATTCGAGCGAGAGGTAGTTTCAGGACTAGAGACAGCGCCAGGACAATCCAGAGAGGGAAGCTGCTGCCATCTGCTGCCCACAGCGGGTACAGCACCATATAATGCATGGAAACGTGTGTCAGTATGTTCAAGGCAGAGTACGTAGGAAGGATACGGATAGAGATGGTTGTGTGTGTGTGTGTGTGTGTGTGTGTGTGTGTGTGTGTGTGTGTGTGTGTGTGTGTGTGTGTGTGTGTGTGAACGATAATGTATATATAGATTTTAAAGGGGGATGAGGGGGTAGCAAAGATGAAGTCCACGCATTCAAGACATTCTGCTCCACATTCCCATTGTACAGCAACCTGCTGCTGTCTTTCATTCCAATTTTGAAATAAAACGTATTAAGCTTTAGCCCTTAAGTCATATTATTTTTTACACAAAAGTAATACTGTCGCCAGAAGTTTAGTCAAAGTCGCACATGGATCGGTTTTATCAGGGGGCATGACGTTTGAGAAGTGTGCAATGTTGGTTAACTAATGACTGCTTCAAGCTGCACTTAATATTCAAAGTGGATTCACTCATTAGTTAAGCTCATAACATACAAGTGCCTGACTGAGCTCTTTACTAACTTGCCTCTTCTGTAACATACTCCCCAGGACGGCATGCAATGCACATGGGTGTTGGTCTGTTCCACTTGACTTAACAATTTAGATCCTATCTGGTCTGGTCAGGTCCAAACTATTCGTGTGTACTTTGTATCTTGTCTGACTAATTACAATACAAGTGAATACCTACCTTTGAGAAGATATTGCGGAAGAAGTGGTAGAAGCGATTGCTGCTCCTCTTTGCCTTGATCTCCTCAACATCAACTTTGTTTTTACTGAGACCCTCAGAGTCTGGCTGACACTGTTCAACAGAGATCTGGCTGAGATTAATCTTTTTTTGGTATCTCTTGGTGTCTGGTCCTCATCCTCTATTTCCCTCACTCTAGCTGTTACACACAGCATTGCAGGATGTGGCGGAGGGTGTTTCTTGAGAACAAAGCAATAGTGCCCTGTTTGTACTGTCCAGTTCTCCTACATGTCAAGTCTGCGCTATCAAAACTGAAGGGCTATTCTAAATGTTCAAGTGGCTAAGTC